CTAATCTGTTATACAGATAGTGCAAAATGAAGATCTAAGCTAAAAGAGATCTAAAGGAAGATAACCCAATCAAAATTATTACAATAGATATAAAAAGTAATATTTATGTTAATGCTTATAATAATAAAAAGAATATAAATATAATAAATAAAGAGATAAGAAATAATTAAAAGAATAATAATAAGAAAATTTATAAAATTAATATAATAAAAGAAAATAAAATTATTTTTTTTAATATAAATATATAATATAAAATTTAATAAATTAAAAATTAAAGATTTTTTATTTTTGATACTTTTGATTTTATAATATTCAGATTAAATAAAGAGAAGTTTTTTATTTTTAGAGAGTATTTATTTTTGATTATATATAATATAATTTTATTTAATATATAATATTTCTTTTTCTTATGCATAAACAAGATAGATATATTAAATAAAGATAAATTTAAATAAATAAATTCTTTATTTAATAAGTTAATTAATTATTTTTTCAGTTTATTTATTTTAACATATGACAAATAATAAATTAAATATAATAACTATTCTAATTTAATAATTAAATTAATAATATAATTAATAATATATTTTAGTAATAGTTTATTTAGTAAAGATTTAAAAAAATATTAATAAATTCTAATTATTCAATAATTTTAGTCAAGAATATAATTAATATTTTCTTATTTTTTTTTGATAATAATATAAATTATAAATAACTCAATATTAAATAATAGAATTTTAAATTATTAAATAAGATATATAAATTGAATTATATCTTTATATATATATATTGCATTGCTGGCTTTGATATTAATTATTTGATTATCATAATTAAATATCATGAAATTATTATATTAGTTAATAATGAAATTAATTTAATAAAGTTATAATTCACCAAGTATTAGATTATAGTATTATAAGTTAAGAACTTATATACTAATATCAGTTATATGATAAATATTTAATTTCAATTTATTAATATTAATTAAGAGATTAACTTTATTTTTCTACTATTAGCAAGTTCAATAATGATTATTTTATTAATTGAATTTGAAGCTAATTTTTGTGCATAAAGTTTTTATCAATAAAAATATGTGATGTTTCACTATCTAATAGTTTTCAAGATGACTTTTCATTGACATGATCATTAAATTTTAATAATTTCTCATAATTATCTTCAAGATACATTATTGCTGATATTTTCTTTGATATTACTAATTGTGACTTTTCCTTTTGACTGGCAGTCCTTTGCATAGTGATTTGGCTTTCCATAATTATAGCAATTTCCTATGACACAGTTGTTTTCTTTTTAATTGTTGTTGCTTTGTTGATATGATTCTTCAACATGATTCAATTTCATTAGGATTGTTCTATTATTATTGTTTTGATAAGCGTTTCTTAAATATATTAAGGAGGAAGTTGAGTAAAATTACATTTATCAGACACTATCACTATCTTCTCCAAGAAATTGCTCCTTCGGGAATGTCTCACTCTTCTTCGAAAGAGTAATTAGGAGTGCCTTATGTAAAAAATTTTTCCATGAAGAATTCTTTTTTTGCAGGAGGGTCCGGATACTTTTTGAAGACAGTGTTTAATCGATAAACTTAGGGATATTGCGATTTCTTTGCAAACTGCAATTGTACATAAACTAAATATTCTATTTGGGAACTTGGTATTCTTAACATATTCGTGATTGTCATCTCATACGCTATTAATAATGTCTTCGTATCCAATTAATGTTAAATGTTAATTATTACTAAAGGTTGATTTATGGTCAGATATTTTTAATTAGTGGTATGAACAGCAGTTATGCCACTGTTGAAGGGTAAATTTTAAGATCTAATCAATTACAATGAAGGCGCTTCGCGTTTCATGTCAATAATATGACAGTAATAGCATCTCGAACGTTTATCAAATAAAGGAACGAAATCTCCGGTCTGTCAAAAGGACCTCTTCAAATTGATCATTCTTTTGTATCTTTGTCATTAGAAGATATCTTTATGAACATATCTTTATCAATAAAAAATTTGTATTCAGAAAGAAAATGAAATTTGAATCGATGAAGGTAATGAGGGTAGAAAGATTTAATTTGTCGATTGAACATCCCGATGTTCGAGGAAGAGTTGAATGGTTGTGTTTTTATTCTAAATTAACATTTTTGTATTGCTTGTGAAGAGAAAGTTGCAATAATATTACAACAAGACTATATAAGGCATTTAAATGTCATTGAGCAAATTATATACGATATTTAAATTACAGTTACTTTTTGATCGATACAATGAATTTATGCTCCAATGTTTGAAACGCCGATCTAATCAAAAACGCAACTTTCCCTTTTTATTCCTTTATAAAGTATACTCGAAAACGATTCGTTCTTCGTGTTACCTCTACTTTTTTATGTAACACGAATTTAGTTAGGATAATTCTTTTGTGAAAAAATCTAGTTTGCTTTCCTCTCCTCCTTACGCTCCCTTAAAAATTGAAAGAAAAGCGTTGATCCGCTTTCTTGTTATTCGATAGGGGAATTTTTTCTTTCTTTAAATTTATTCCTTTCTTTCTTTCACGTATCCATTGTAAAAATTCATTTCCTTTACATATACATCATAATATTTCCTTATCTCGAATAGCAAATGTCAAAAACCAACAACAATCTGAAAGTAGGTGGTTACAACCTCGATGACGCCGTGTCCCTAAACTCCGAGTATGACGAAGATGGTGACCTGAACTCGGTGTCACGCAAAGAAGGACATTTCAAACGTTTCCGCCGGTGGTTTCACACATTCTCGGTCGGGACGCGTAGTCTTCTTTATATTTTCCCGGGTTTGGCTGTGTTCGCTGTTTTTGCCGTGTTGGGGTACCTTGTTTGGAACAAAACGAATATAGCGGATGTGCCACTTCATATTTGGGCGATTTGGTTGGGAGTGTGCTGGTTCGCGTTGTTTGCATCGAGATTTGTAGTGTTTTTAGTTCCGTATTTTTTGGGTAATTATTATTCAATTCAATTCTAAGTGTAAATAATTAAATTTTCATGATTTTTGATGCAAATATATAATCTTTAGAATGGATACTCGGGCATATTACAAGTCGCGTAAAACGTTATATGGAATTTATCCGTCATTTACACTACTATATCTCGTTATGCGCATTTTTATGTGTCGCATTTTTAAGTTTTGTTCCGATTATGGTGGGATATAACGCTAAAGGAGGCGTTATGACCGATTGGCAATATACAACGAACAGAATACTTGCCGGTGAGAATTTAGATTCTTCCCCATCCATTTACAATAAGTCTTCATATTGATCTCCATTTTGATTTTCCCTTAAGTGTGCTTTATCGCCTCGGGAATCATTTCCTTTGAAAAACTTTTATTACAAGTGGTCGCCGTAAAATTCCACGAAACTACATACCAGGAAAGAATTGCGAACAACAAATACCAAGTCTCAGTGCTGACATCTCTTTATGCTGCATCGAAAAAAAAGCTTCAGCAGTCGACAAACGAAATGATATTGCCAAGATCCGATTCACATGGTGCACAAAACATCAATTTCACAAAAATCATATCGCAGACGAAAAATGCGTTGGAGAAGACAACGTCGGCGTTAGGTCAAATCGCGTCCGAGATTACAGGGCATCAGGTGACAATACAATAAACAAAGAATCAAATCATCTATCGTATTTTTTTAATTATCAAATAACATTTAAAAAACATTAGTTTGACAGCACCCTAAATTCTTCGGAAGTCTCTGTCCTAAATTACCTACAAACAGGACATGACGCACGTGTACTGGGACGACGATTATTTCGTTCTTTTTGTAATCCGAAACGAAATCATCTAGTATTTGAGGATATTTGTGATTGCTTTCCAAATCAGGAGGCTGCCGAAAATGCTTTCTTTGTCTTTGATAAAGATGGAAATGGAGATGTAAGTAAAGAAGAGATTCTTATCGTTTGTGTTGAAACGTACAAGGAACGAAAGGCTATTGCTGCTTCTATGAGGTAAGTAAGAGTCAGTAATTTCAAGTTTTTGTGAAATTAATTAATTATAATTTATAGAGATTTAGATAATGCAGTTGGCAAATTAGATTCGATTCTGATGGTTGTGATTTATGTAGGTAGCTCTTTCTCGCTCTGTCAATAGCTTAAAAAATTTCCTCGCCATAAATTCAAATTAACAAAATATATTCATTACTATTAATACAGTTTGTCATTATTTTGCTGTTCGTCGCGTTCTTGGACGTCTCATTTCAAACATACATTGCCACAGCCGGTTCTATTCTATTGGCACTGTCATTTATGGTTGGATCGAGTGCTCAAGCTCTTTTCGAATGTATCATCTTTTTGTTTGTTAAACACCCGTTTGACGTTGGTATGTAATTATCTTTGAATTTCTTTTTTTTTGAAATTTTAATTGATTTATTGTATTTTTTTTAGGCGATCGTATTGAGATAGAAGAACAGGGATACATTGTTAAAGAAATGGTGAAAACATGTTATTTATATGATTTTGCACGTTTGTATGTTTTTCAATTATTCATTATGTAACTAACACCGTCATTGGTAATAACAAATATGATAATTTAAAGTCGTTACTCTCAACTGGTAAAGTTAACCTTCACTTATTTATATTTCCTCTGGGTAGATAATTGTGGATTTTATTTTTGATTTATTTATTTATTGATTTTTTTATAGTTTTGACACAAGATGACGGCAAGATCGTTCAAGCTGCTAATAATCTATTGGTATTTATTTTTTTATTATGCTTTTAAGTTCATTAAGATCATTGATCATTCAGTATTATGAAGAAAAAGCTATTAAATGATTTTTTCTATATGCATGTGTTTTTCATCACAACTTAGGCACAGAAATTAATACAGAACATCAGGAGATCAGGGCATATGCGCGATGAGGTAAGTTAAACGAACAACTTACCAAACAAACTCGGCAAAAATCACAAAATCATATATCCTCACTGAATACGTTCTATTCACACACACACACGTATAATATATTAAATAACAGGTCTTGATCGAAGTAGATTTCTACACATCACTCGAACAAATCGAAGCTTTACGCGAAAGAATGGTAACCTATTTGGAAGGTGAAGATCGTGACTTTTATCCAACTCTTGAACTGACCGTCGAAAAAATGCCAAAGTGTCGACAGCTGGTTATAAAAATCTCGGTCGAACATAAATCTAATTGGCAGGATGAAGGAGTTACTTGTCGTCGGAAGAATAAGGTACTTCTATCATTAATGTTGATATTTAATGCCTTTTACCCTGTTAATGTAGCAATATTAAATTCAGATATCAACTATCATACTATATATAGTTTATGTGTCAACTTAAGAATCTGATAATAGACCTTGATATACAAGGACCTTTCGCTGGACCAAAATTACCAATTGAAAAAATGGTGTTGCCTGCTCGTCCGCTTCGTATTCACCCGATAAAACATGACGCGATGTCACCAAAGACAGACTTCACATTAGGTAAGTATTGTAACAAGTAATCATCATTATTCGTTAGTTCTCTTTGCTTTTGTAGACACAATATCTAAAAAAATATGATGTTACATTTATTAGGCGCAAAGAGTGATGTGTTTGATGTCGAAGACAAAGAAACAATGATGCGCAAAACATCCGTTCGAAGACGCAGAACTAAAAAGAACGTCTTTGGTAGTGACGAAGAAGATGAGCATTTATCAGTTAATAATAACATGCGACAATCACAACAATCATTGCATCATCATACAAAGGTTGATATTGTCGTGACTGATGAACAAGGACTCCGTGAGAAGCAGGATGATTGAGGATTTGGGGATGTGATTAATAATACGGCTTAAAAACTTTGGTTTAGTTTAGTTTAATTGTTTTATAATAGATTGAATATTTGAATTATATTGGCATTATTATTTGTATAACGATAACTTAATTTCAAAATTATTTTTATTATTTGTAATAAATATTTGACAAAAAATCATACTTTTTCTTTATACGTTGTCAAAATCTTCAATCTTATTAGTAAATATTTTTCAAAATAAAAAGAGCCTTTGATAATGCCTGATTAAACTGTAGATTATTGTCTTTGAGTTTTGAGTTATAGAATTTCATTACTAAAAATTTAAATTAATTAATTCATTTTTCAATATGCTATACTCTATTCTGCGAATTTGTTGCTATTTGCGCCCTGTCATTTTCATTCTCAACCCAGTCCTTATGTCTTATCGTTTTTCTCAATAATATATGGAAAGTCGACTTACCTGAACCATTTCCGTTCCTATCTTCATTCCGAACTCCCTCAAGAATTCGTTTTCACGATAGTTCAAAACTTGCAAACCGGCGTTGATTTTGTTTGCTCTGAGGTGAGGTGGTTGACAAGTGCATGAATTTGAGTATAGTATAATCTGATTTTAATATTGATTACTAGTGGTTCATAAAGACTTTTTTTAATATATAGTAGAGATTGATCTTCGGTTAACTGTTCTTTATATTCTTCTTCATTTTCTTTACCTGATTCATTATATATTGAAAAGTGACACTGATGCATGAAATTTACGTCATGATGTAAATCACAACTCACACGTTATCACCGGTCTCGTGCGAGCACGGGATTAGTGATAATCGTCGTACATCATTGGTCTGATAAAAGGATGAATCAAAGCAAGAAATGATTGGATATTGTGATGGACTAGGTCTGGATGGGGACGATATAGCTGACACACTTCTGCAAGAATTGTCCTCAGATGTAACTAAAAAGATTCAAAACAAACGCTCATTTTGAAAAAATCGGATATATCTTCTAATTAACTACCTAACAAAACATTTTTCTTAACCCTAATCTTAACCCGAACCCTAACATAGACGAAATTTTAAGTTTCCGACATGTTTTGTGCTCATCATGTGAACGGAAAATCGATCCTACGCCCTGTCAATTTCGACGGAGTGAGGTTATCGAAATAATGAGAAATGATCGTCAAAGTGATGTCAGCAAAAAACGAAAAAATCGACAAGTAACTGGTTCAAGAGGCAACAAGCCGGATTAAATGATCCGAGCGTTTTTCAACAAAAGTGGAACGAACTCGCGTACGTTGAAATCGGGAAATGGAAATCAATAAACACAAAAATTCATAATGATCATAACAAATTAGCTTAGACCGATATACTAATATGTCATAGGCCAACACTAGAAAGAAGAGCTGTATAAATTCTGCATTGTATTTGGTATCAATATTAGGGAAAAAACACAGTGGCTAACATAATTCAGCTCTACTTACAAATATGATCATATTAACTATAGCTGGAAATAATATTCAATTAAATCTTGCTTTTGACCATACGATAGCGATACATTTCTAATAGGTTTACACTCTCGCTTTCATAAGTTCTTTATTATTTTTAACCGTCAAAAATTATATGGTTAACTGTTTAGAATTCTTAACGTTAACCAGTTAGGATCGCTTATTGGAAACGCAGATCAGAAAACATCTGCGTGTGAATGACCACAAAGACGGATTTCGCATTGAAGCTTGTATCTTGAAAGTTTGCCTATGGAAAAATCGTTCCTTGCGAAATTTTACTATAATCCTTTCATGCGATATAATTTTAACATCTTGCGATTTGATTGGTTTAGTCCCTTAAAAATCACGTATCCGGACATTTTTCTTCTATAAAATGAAGACGGTAAGGATGAAAAACGCAAATTCAATGTATTATAGATAGATGTATATATATCTATTCATAATTTTAGTTATCATAAGAGATCGTATAATATCGATTTCGTATTTGAAAACTTCAGATAGTTTATTTCGTAAAATTATTAAAATATCTATGATAATGTTAATTAATATGTACAACTAAAAAATAAAATACTAACGCTAAAAGACTTTTGGACGGATAAACACGTTTAGATTATCACAATGGTTAATCATTCCAAAACTATACTTCAATTCACCTCGACTATCTTCCAACTCTATTTCATACTTTCTCAACAGACAAACCAACAAAGTCTTCAGCTCTAACATTGCCATCTGTCGTCCCGGACAAATTCTCACCCCTCCACCAAACTGTAACAATGTATTCTTTGCTCCTGTTTTCGACGAGTCAAAATTTAAAAATCGATCTGGATTAAATTCTTTGGGGTTGTCCCAGTGAGCAGGATTCAAATGAATTCCATGAACATTCGTAAAGAATTGAGTGCCGGCTTTCCATCGAAGTCCAATTATTTCGTCATCGTTTTGTGCTGTTTTTACAAGTGCGGGTACGACTGGAGTTAGTCTTGCAGTTTCTTTGATGAATGCATCAAAATATTGGAGTTTTTCGAGATTCTCTTGAGTGATTTGTTGGTCTTGTGAAGTTGGACCGAATACTTCATTTATTTCTTCAAGTAAACGTTGCTTAGTATGTGGATACTTGCACATGTTCCAAATCATGAATGTCAGAGTATTGGCAGTCTATTAAAGTTTATTTTTATCATGTTAACATAAAATACACTCAATTCTCTATATAAATAAAATAAAAAATGATAAATACCGTATCGATGCCAGCAGCGAAGACTTCGATCAAATTCTCTGCTATTTCCGCATCATTCATTGGCCGGTCAATCGAATTTGCGGTAGATATTTTTGTCATATCTCTAGGCGTATTGGTCGTTAGCAACAATGTTAAAATATCGGCTGGCAATTGCACATTAGGTGGGGTAGATTCAATCTCTTGTCGTCTCTCTTGAATAATTTCCAGCAATGTGGACATCATCCACTTTGAATTATTCATGAATTTATTTTGGAAATATTTAAAAATGGGAACATGGTGACGAATCCATTTCGGGAAAAAGTAAGAGAACTGTACTGCATAAAACCAAGTAGTTATCGCTTCGACAAAGTCACCTTCATATTTAAAGACGGATTGCGGATGTTGAATTTTGTTTTTGTCGCTGACGAGGGAGTTGTAGTACATTGCACATTGATATGCTGGTTTGCCAGCACTCATTAACACTGTCACATCGGTGACCATACGCATTGCCCATGCAGCAAAATCCAAAGGTTTATGCGAGCCAAGTTTACGCCAGTATCCTTCTGTTTCTCTAAAGCTTTCTTGAGTAACCTTCACAAATTCTCTTAAATATGCTTTAGCAGTCACAGTTTGAGTCACCAACCCGCGGTTATACTGCCATGATTCACGATTCATAATAATCCCTTTATTCGTATATCCGAACTCATCAAGTCCTTCTGACGGTCCAGTACGCATTGTGAAGTTATTTTTCGTCGATGGGTTAAAAATTTTCTCCACAAAATCAGCGCGACCGAGAAAAATCGAGCGTTCTCTTCCTACCCAGACTTCCCAAGCGTCACCATATTTCGCTTGTGTTTTGTTTGCCCACCGTGGCAAGTCCCATCCGATTTGGAGAAAGTTTCCTACAAGTGGAAGCGGAATTGGACCTGGAAGAGGATTTTCTCGAGTATAGTATTTGTAGTAAAAATATGCTACGTATGTTATGAATAATAGCAGTATCACACTTTGCCAGTCTGATTGCACATAAGAAAGAATAAATGAAGTTATCGACATTTTTAGTGTTGTTTTTACTTGATGAATGTTAAGTTATTTCAGGAAGGATGAAATAATATAGAAAAATCTGTGTAAAGATAAATTATAAATTTTTCCTACGCTTTATTTCGATTTAAAGTGAAAAGAGAGAATAGTTATTTGCTTGCATCAAAATTATCTTTCATCCCGTTCTTTTAGTAGTGCCATTATATAGAAAACGAATAAAGTCAAAAATCTTCATACTACAATGATAACTTGCTGTGAAAGAATACATGAACAATTGAATATTAAAAATAGGTATTATACTCGTAATTCAATCATATAACCAATGCTTTTTAATAACATTAATTACAATTATTTTATCATTATTATTCGATAAAAGCGAAGATTATATAGGAACTATGAATGAACAATATCCAGAATCCCAAAAAAATATTGTTCTAATTGTGTACTACAAACATGATAATGAATGGACCCTTGTGTTACGTAGTGTTAGTATTGTTTGCTAACAATTTAAGAATAATGAATTAAATCGCGCATAGTATTGTTGGGTGGGAAGTGCAGTGCACGTGGGAACTATAATTTACGGACAATGGAAAAATTAAATCACGCAATATTTAATTTTGCACTTGCTGATCACGTGGTTCCCTTTTTCCGACTTTGATGATATCGGTCTCTTAAAATTTTAATTTAAGATAAAATTATAACTCCGATAGCCAAATTTATCTTTGTTTTAACACAAAGAGTAGTTTCATAGGTAATTAGTAAAATATTTTAATAGGGATATCGGATCCAGGGACACGGAAAATTCATATATAGATATCGTTATAGAACGGAATTTAAGACAAACCGGAATAAAAGGGAATTTTTATAGAGACCAGATTGGCAACTGGAAAAATTAACAAATTAAACACCGATAGTAGTTCACCCATGCATCCAATTTTATTATAACACTTTTTTATTGAGCGCGCCTAATTTTTTAGTTTTAAGAAATTAAAATTTTTTATATTTTTATTTATTTTGTAAAACACTAATCAATTATTTGTAAAATTGAATTAAAAATGTTATGCCTATACCTATTTTAGCAATCAACTATCCAAATTATTTGACCTTTTTTTATTCATCTTATTTTTCGTGCTTTTCAAAATAATCATTTTTGAATAAGACAGATTTTGAATGTGAAGAAATTGTTAATCGAAAATATTAAGCCATTTTAAATTCATAATTATAATGTAATAAAAACACAAAGATCAAATCACTTCAACATCAC